CACATATTGTATGAAAAGGAGACTTGAACAAGAGTGTAGTAGAGAAGGAGATAAGTGTGTATGGAATGAGTTATGAGTTATGGTTCAATAGCCTCCTATAAGGAGTATATATAGGGAAAATCCGGGTCTGGGCCTCTAATATGGGCCTGACAGACCCGGTTACATAAATGGACTGATAGTACAAAAAACTAATCTAGAACATCTGAATAATAATAATGTACAATAATATGAATGATATTTGTTAAACGTATGTGGGCCACTGTCCAGGCCCAGTAGTCGGCAGACCGGTGGGTCGGAGTCCATATACTCCATCATCTACACAATACACGTTAGAATATCCGAGTCAAATTCTACCAGGTACGTGAGAAAATCTGATCCGAAGGATTTTTCAACTCTAGCACGTTTGCTACGTCTGGGTTCGGGTTCTTCGCCGGATCCCTCGCTAGTATTTTCCATAGCTACACTAAATGTTTGTTTTGACGTGCTTGGTCCTTTGTTGGCTATGTCTGAGTTTCCCATCCACACCTTCTCACCATTTGATGGCTCAAAAGTTGTGAATAACTCCCGGTTTGAGCAAATATGTCGGGTAGCGCCGATGTCCATGAACCGCTCCTTGGAATTGGATCCAACGAGGTTGACCTTGATCACCACGGCCGCAAGGATAATGTCTTCAACCTTTTTCCCACCTTGCACCAAGTTGACTTGATTGTCTTTCTTCTTATTGGGTGCCTTGCAATTCGCGGACTTGTGTCTATTTTTATTGCAGTTGAAGCATTTTCCATTGAACTTTGTCTTGGAAACGCCTCCCTTGGGACTGAGCTCGCTCTCCCAATTATTCTTGTTCTTGGCACCGCTAACGATTGGGAGTTTCCCATCGTTCTTCTGGTTATCCTCTTCAATCCGAAGACGGAGGATCTATTGCTCCAAGTTCATTTCCTTTCGCTTATGCTTAAGGTAGTTCTTGAAATCCTTCCAAGCCGGCGGCAATAAATGGATAATTGATGCCACTCTGAAAGACTCACTAACTGTCATTCCTTCATCTCGAATTTCATTGAAGATCATTTGCATCTCCTCAACTTGACTCAAGACCATAACCATTTTAAAGTCAAGAAATCGATTAACAACGAATTTCTTTGCGCCGACATCCTCGCTTTTATATTTGTAGTCCAAAGCATTACATAGCTCCTTAGCCATAGATAACTTGCTATAAACATCACAAAGAGCATCATGCAGCCCGTTCAACACGTAGTTTCTGCAAAGGAAGTTAGAATGTTTCCATGTCTCAACTGCGTTGAGAGATTGCATATCCACCTCACTTCCGGTTACAACCGGAGCGTCCTCGGTTAAGAACATTGCAAGACGGAGAGTAGTGAGATAAAATAGCATCTTTTGCTGCCACCTCTTGAAGTTTAACCCATTGAATTTTTCGGGTTTCTCCACAGAGTTGCTCGGCACGGTAATCATAGGGATAGCCCTTTGGTTGCCCAAAACAGATGCTCCGCGTTGTGAACTATTGTTCACCGGAGCTCCACTTTTAGAGTGATTGTCGTTTGGCACGTTCTGCCCACCAACATTCTGATTTCTCTTGAGAAGCCATTTTTCGTATTCTTATGTTTTCCGAAAACACAGAAAATTAGTTTAAGTTCGTTCACCTCAGTGACAAACTACGTTTTTAGATTATTTACTGCAGTACAACAATCATCGATTACATTTTATGGTTGTTGGGTGTGTCTAAGAAAAGCAAGACATATTAATTAAATAATATTAATTAATAAATAAAATAGCCAAAGAAGAATGGAAAACAGATGGGACAAAAATTAGCCAGGTCTCGTGCTACGCACGATGTCCTTAAAACGTATTTGTCGCCTCCCACGGTGCTAGGAGTGTTGCAACGACCGTTTCTCAGGATACGGTGGCTAACGAACTAACGTTTGAGCACACAAATGAAAGTTCCGACGGACGGGAACAAGCTAGAACGCTTATGAAATTTTTGGAATACTGGAGGTGTTTTAGAGCTTAAAATACGTGTACATAGTGTATGATTGCATGTGTTGTTGCAAAGCACCTGCTAGCTATTTATAGGAAGATTTGTTGTGTGTTAATGTGAGAGTAAAAAAACATGAACGTTGGACATCAATGACCAGTCTGTTGGGCATTGAATCGTCCATGAATTGTCTATTTAACTCTGCATTAAGACATAAGAACGTTGGACATTTTTTGCTGTAAGGGTTCATAACCGTTCAGCCGCGCGACCAGAATACCCCAACCAGAACACCCTACGAGGTGTTCTAGTCTGAAGCCACCAGAACACCATACAGAGTGTTCTGGTCTGAAGCCTTCTATCCGAAGCAGTTCTGCCGCTGACCACTTCTGGTTCTGGGAAAAAATAAAACGTAACGGGAAGAAACAAAAATTAAATCGTATCTTTGAATGATAGATTTTGGAACGGCATTCGTGTCCGCAGGTCACAGTTTTTCTTCTCCGTTTTCATGATTTGATCGACACCCCCCGCGCGTGAAGAGAGCCTTTCCACCTAAGAATCTTAACTCTTTCAAAGAAGGTTCCCTTTATAAGGGGTTGAAAATCCCTTGGGTTTTCCGGTGTGCGATAAATCCCACTAGAAACCCCATTATTTTCCCAGTTTTTCCATTTTAACGAGTGAACTTCGAGAATCAATTTCTCATTCACCCGTTATCCGTTTTGAGTGTACCATATATCGAATTGTAGCCCTTAGCAAGGATAATCCGAAACAAATTTGACCCGACCCAAATTGAAAGTGGATCCCACTCAAAATAATTCCCCGAATTGACCATTAAATGCAATTTTTAACACATTTTCCAACAGCTTCTTCGTTCGCGACCGTTTGTTCCATCAGCAATGCGCCTCTCTCGCCACTGCATTTATCTATGGCGTCATTTCTTGGTTTCCCGCCGCCGTTTACATGGTCTTCGGTGTTCCCGCAGACTGGTTCATCCACGTCTTTTGCACCTAGCTTCATGTAGGACATGTTCTCGGCATTGCCCTAAAGTGATCCTTCGATCTATTCTTTGAATTCGAGGTCCATGTTACCCACCTCTCGTCAACTACATGGCCCTATGCTGACAAGGCTGCCATATATACCGCCTCCATTTTCTTTGATGTTCATCGCCCCTCTTTTAATTCCCAGTTGACTCCCTCTATTATGGTTATTGCTCAACAAATGAGTTATTCTTCTCCTATTGTCACTAGACTCACTACCATAGTTACCACTAAATTAAATGTTGTTGAAGACTATATATTGTGACACACTCAATTTGAGTCCTTTTTGTGGGTCTTAAGGTCTTCTTAGCATCGTAGATTGCAGTTTACCGACTCCTCTTTATGCGTTAAATCCCTTTAATCCTTACACTATACGTCTAGGTTATCACCATTGTTTACGAAGTAATTAGGTCTTGGCTATTTGCCACTTCAGTGGTGATGTTCAGGTGGGTGTATATGATCTCAAAAATTGTGCTCGCATTTAAGACCATCTTCAGTCAAAGTTTATGTTTGTCAATCTGTCCCGGTCTATGGAGCTCAAGTGCGTGTGTTAATATCATCAACGATACTTGATAGAGTATGAGCCCGGACAACGGCTCACATGCGCTCAGTTGATAACGTTCACATTATTGTACACTTTATATACCTATTAGAATAGATTATATATCATTTATTAGTCATTTATTAGCCTTTATTATAATTGGATCTGCTCAAGCCTGGAAGCTCGAACCACATTTCTCCTATAAATACTTCATTTGGGAAGCCATGTAAAAGGCTAGAAAATCATTTATGTATACCAATTTTTTTCTATTTCTCTTTTCTTCATAAGACAATAGGTCATCATTTGGTGCTTTCATTGAGAGCTAAATCACTGAGATCATCTCATCCTACTACACTTCAGATAAATTAGGAGCGTCATCACACATTGTTCGAACACCTCACCTCGGTGGGAAATGCACTGCCCCTTGTCCGAGCACCTCGATCCAAGTAGACCAAACAACGCCCGCCTCGGTCCAATTGGGGGCAACATGACTCCTCGACCAAGTGTCACCTTGGCTCAATTTGGGGAAACATGACCCCTCGGCCAAGTGCCACCATGACTCAATTTGGGGAAACACGCCCCTTGACCACGAGCACCTCGGCCCAACATCACCACCCTCGGTTCCAAGTGGAGACATGTTTGTTATCCTCGGCCCCAAGTACGTCAGAGACTCCCCCGGTCATGAGGAAAATAACGAGGAAAATCCAGCGGCAAGGGAAAACAAACCTCGACCAAGAGCTAACCTCGGCCAAATTTAAACTTCAACAATCGTAAAAAACACATAAAACATATATTTATGAGAACAAATCCGTTCCAACCAGATCAAATCAAATTAAACAAACCAGGAAAATTTAGTCTAATAAAAAATATCATCAAGGATGTTTTTACTTGGACTGTAATTTGCTGGTCTGGTCTGGTCTATTTAAGTCTAGTCTGGTATGTTTAAACCTGATCTGGTCTGGTCTGAACTGATCTGGTCTAGGAAACGTCTGACCTCTGTGTATTTTATAACTACAGAAGTGAAGTCTGATCTGATTTGATCTGTTTAAGTCTGGTCTTGTTTGGTTTATTTAAGTCTGATCTGGTCTGATCTGGTTTGAAACTCAAAACAATCCAAGGACAAACATTTTAGAGCCCGTTTGGTAACACTAAAATTTGCTGATTTGGCTAATTTTACTGAAATTTATGAAGTACTACTAGCTGAAGTGGCTGATTCTGCTGATTCAAGAAAAAATTATATTTAAAATACTATCGTATTTGTTATAAATAAATAAAAAAAATATATGAAAAAATAGCTAAAATGATCATCTACAATACTTTCAGCCAATACTGTCAGAAAAGTAACTCAACCTTACTTTTTCTGCTTATTACATAATTCAGTGTGTGAAATGAAAAGTCAAGCGTTTAAGAAAAAATAACAAAGCCCAAAGGGTTTAGACTAACAACCCTTCGGAACAAAGCGCAGGTAGGATGCATCACGGAAGCAGGTAAGTTGTGGTTCCACAAACTTGTAGCCTGAGAATGTCCATGCGCCAACTCCACCCAACAGCAGATTTTCTCCCCTTTGTCACGCCTACCCAACTTTAGGAATCCCCGCACCTCTAACACTTCCTTCCGCGCCGTCCATCGCCGCCGGTGGAACCCTAAGTTTTTCTTACCCTTTTGATTTCCGTTGTATCGATGAGTGAGAAGACTCAGACTCAAACAGAATCCCTGCCCGATTCGGATTCAGGACCGCAAACTGAAGCACGGTCGGAGTCGCCTTCCCCAACTGCGGATTCTGGGCTTCAATCGGAATCGGAACCGACCCTTGTTTCCGGCGCGCCACTTGATATTTCTCGCAATCACTCGAACCCTTCTAAAATCCCAATTCGGCCCAGGAAAATTCGGAAACTATCGGCCACTACCTCTGTCGAGGTTGCTGATCAGAGCCGCCCAGAAACCGTCCTCGATCCTACTTCCCCCTCTTCACTGAAGGAGATCATTCCCGTAACCTTTCCCGCCTCAACTTCCGGCGCTTCCACCGCCACCACATTGGCGAGCTCCAGGAATCGCCGGAAAGCAGTTACCCAGATATCCAGGCTTTTGCCCCAAATTGTTAAGCCTTTATCAGCTGATGGAGAAATTGAGCTTGCCATCCGCCATCTCCGAGCTTCAGACCCTCTCCTTGTGTCCCTGATTGACACTCTCCCTCCGCCAACATTTGAAACGCGTCATCCACCCTTCCTAGCTCTGGCGAAGAGTATTCTTTACCAGCAACTGGCATATAAGGCTGGTACATCAATATACACGCGATTCATATCCCTCTGCGGTGGAGAGCTAGCTGTTCATCCTGATACCGTTCTCTCCCTCTCTGCTCAACAGCTCAAGCAAATTGGAGTCTCTGGCAGAAAGGCAAGCTACCTATATGATCTGGCAAACAAGTACAAATCTGGGATTTTGTCTGATGACACTGTTGTTAAAATGGACGATCGCTCACTGTTTACAATGCTGTCAATGGTTAAGGGAATAGGCTCTTGGTCTGTTCACATGTTTATGATCTTTTCACTGCACAGACCAGATGTCCTGCCCGTAAGCGATTTAGGGGTAAGAAAAGGGGTACAATTGCTGCATGGGTTAGAGGATTCGCCAAAGCCATCTCAGATGGAGCAGCTGTGTGTGAAATGGAAACCCTATCGGTCAGTGGGGGCATGGTACATGTGGCGGTTCGTAGAAGGAAAGGGGACACCGGCCTCCGCAGCAGCAGCATTAGATGGTAGTGCTGTGCAGCCATTGCATCAAATTGATCACGTGCAGGATGCACAGGAACAGCACCAATTGCAACTTTTGGAGCCCATTAATGGCATTACGAATCTTGGGTACTCTTCCCATTGCTGTTAGTCTAGTAGGTTGCTGTTAATTTTATCTTTTGGAGTAATACCTTTTATGTTTAATTTTTCTGATAAGTAAATAGTTTTCATTTTTATCTATGCATTCGTGCACTACCCATTTGCCTTCCTCATCATTGCCACTGATAATTAGTTATACTTTCGATATATTTTGAACGACTGTGGCAGTGAGAGGTCAATATTAATACGTTAATCTTTCCTACAAAATACTAGTGATGGTTAGTAATCATTAGTGGTCAGTAAAGAGTATTCTAAAGAGCCAAATAATGTGGATCTATTCGCCAAAATAGCAGGGTATCCTACTATGGTTAGTGTTCTGAACTTCTTAATTATTAAAAATCTGGATTTTCTTGCCCTTCCTCCATGGTTGTCATGGCGCATGGCGCAACCCATGGCGCACAGGTCATTTTCCATGGCGATGGCGATGGCGCAAATATGGCGTCGCCACGTGACAAAAAAAAAATTCAAAACGAATAATAGTTAAAGTTTACCCAAGTTTACCCAACCACCAAAACATGATAAAATAGTTCAAAGTACTTCCAAAAAACATAATATTCAAAAAAAAAGTTTCTGTCTTGCAAAATATGTTAGGATTTAGGCTTGTTAGCTTGTTTTTGTTTGATGATTATGGCATAATCATCATCAATCATCAGACTCTTCATCATCTTCGTCTGAATCTGATAGCAATGGCACACCATCCTCATTCATTTCATCCTCGGAGGGATCTGCAACCTCGTCCGTTTCCTCCATTTCCTCCGCCTCCTCTGTCTCCTCTTCGTCGTGCAGCTGAAGTGTTGATGCCCTTGATGTTGTTGCTCTTGTGTTGTGATTTGCTTCGTTAACACCAACAACTTCTTCCACTACATCCCAGTTTTCCATTTCATTTTGCTCAGCAGCTTCATCAATCCATTCATTGCAATCGTCAATGTCATCCAAACATACTTTCATTTTTTTGAAAGCTGGATCTTGAAGACGTTGATTCTGCCGAATGTATACCAAATCATTCATTTTTTTTTGGCAGCAACCTTGTCCTTTTCTTGCTTTGAACCTAAAACAAGTAGATAACAAATCAACTACGGATAACTTAAATAGTTGAATTAAATATGAAAGGCAGATTTATGAACTTACATTTTCAAAAGCACTCCAGTTTCGTTCACATCCAGAAGCACTGCAAGTTAAACTAAGGATACGAACAGCAAGATGTTGCAATGTAGGAGACGAGGAGCCATTTGAAAGCCACCAGTCAACTATATTTAAAAATTCCAACCAAATGCTAATTAATAATGTAGAAAACAATACTCAGATTTCAGGATTTAAAATTTCAGCTTTCCATTCCAATCTTGCAGTCAATTACAGGCTACAGCAAGTGCTAGCCATCATTTAACACTTAGTCACTCACATTTGGTACTTAAAATAATTTACTAATCAAGTAATCATACATTCATGCTTAAAATATTCAGATTTAAGGTTTTCAGATTCCATTATCCAGACAGTAGGTTGTAGGATAGTAGGTTGCAGTTTAGGACTTTCCAGTTTCCAAAAAGTTTAAATCCAGTATCTATAAACCTACAAAATTAGTTCTAGCAGAAAGTTAATTAAAATACTTAAATAAGAAAGAGAAGACAGATTACAGTTTGCATACCCGGTGGTTGTTTGTCCCTATTGTTCATTGCCATTTTAGTTCTGAAACTTCCTCTACCATTTGTATAGTTTGATATCTCAGTTGAGAACTCTACACTCTCTCCAATGCTAGTGGGCAACATCTTCTCCACACACTTTATAAAGCCATCGCATACTTCTTCAATGAGCATCATCTAATGTAAATTAAAATAAAAATGATCAATGTTACCTCTGCCAACAGTATGAGTATTTAAAATCTCAACTCTCAACTATTATAAATTGATAGACAATTACACATAAAGCAAACTATTAAAGCATCTTACAGTGTAAACTGTAAAGTTTCGTTTAAACTCAAAATATAAAGTTTAAACATTAATTAACTTTATGTTATACATTCATAAACACTTTATCTTTAAGTTTAAACTTTACATAATATATATACCATAGAAAGTCTCTGTTTTAGTTAATCCATGCAGGCATGCACATTTAAGTTTAGACCATTCACAGTAAAGTTGAGTACACAGCATTAACTGAACTTTTCTTCATTAATACACAGCATTAAAGAGGTAGTAGTACCTTTTGTAGTTGGAAGAAGTCAACAGAATCCCCTTGTCATTTGCCTTTTCGGTTGTCGCAGAGCTTTTTTCCGTTGCAGGCTTGCAGCAGCTTTAACTTCTCACGTGTTATCACTTCGTTGTGTTTATTTATTTGTAGTTAGGGTTGTTGTTAGTATTATGGGCTAAAATAGTAAGTTTATGTTAGAGTTTTATTGTTGTTATGGGCTAAAATAGATTGTTATGGCCCAAAACTCCACAACTCACAGCTCAAAAAGCGGACCCATTTTTTAAAAAACCAGTCGCAGCGCCATGGCGAAGGCGCAGGAATGGCGAAGGCGCAGACATGGCGACGCCATGTGTATACATCTCGCCACAGCCCGTTTTCATGGCGCATAGGGTATTTCGCGCCTCATGGCGCATGGCGCGCGCGCCATATTGCGCCATCGACAACCATGCCTTCCTCTTTAGTTTGCCAATTTCCAATAAGACCACTAATCATGAACTCAGACATTCAATATGATGTATATTAGTTGGCTCCAAGAAATTATGATTAAATTCAGATTATATTGGTGTAAACACACTGGATTTCTTTCAAAAAGCTGGTAATATTAAGAAGAATGCTGTCAAGGGCCCAAGGCCACCCTTTTGAGATAGAAGCAATGTTCTAAAAGGTGGCCTTCGATAACACCTTCAATGAAGAAATGATTTTTCTATTTTTTAATGGAAAAATTCACATGAATAATCTCAACTATTAGCGGTCTTCCAATATTCATCCCAGATACACGTAATTCTACAATAATCTCAAATTTACAGGCTTCCTTCTGTTATTGATCCAGTTTACCTACAACTTACTCAACCCGTAAATCCCAAGTAAAATAAAAATAAAAAAATAGTTGAGCCGCTTAGCAACCGAATTGTTTCATAGGCACAACACATGGACGATGAAGAATAAAAGTGACGAGAAATGGGATAGACACTTGGACGGTGATGAATTGAAGAACAGCTAGGTCAGATAGAAAACCGATGATGAAGAGCAGCTGAGACGGTCAGCCGAAAATGATCTACAGCTGGCCTGGACGGCAACCATGGAACATGGACTGATGGACGGGCTGGTGTCAGTACTCTGCTGAAACCCTTTATGCTCAAGCCCCAAGAAAAGAAAAAGTGGAGAAAATACTTTCGTAAGAAGGTAAAGTTAGAGTTGAGCTTTTAACATTAGAAGCAAATCAGGAGCTTCTGAAATTCGATCGAAGCCAAATTCGAGTAAGGGGAAATTGGAATTGGATTTGCCAATTTAATTATTCATGATATTATATCTGCAGATGCCAGAGAGGAGGAAAGAAAAGAAAAGAAAAGGAAAGGAAAAAAAGAAAATGAAACCTGCTAAACGATGGTCTGTGAGTGGTATACCTTACCAGTGAAGAAAGAAGAAAACAGAAGGGAAATGGTAAAAAGGAAAAAGGATGCGCAGAGAGGAAGACGGAGGAAGAAAAAAGGATTAAGAAAAGAAAAAAGATACACCAGTAATAATGTGCCACCTGTCTAGGTGACCTGTTCAATGGGTTTATGGAGGTCACCGGATTGTTTTGAGAATACACTCTTTATGATTTAGATTATACTAGAATTACGTATATCTAGGATTAATATTGGAATACCGTTGATAGTTGGGATTATTTATGTGAATTTTTCCTTTTTAATTCCTTTATTCTTTTATTAGGTAGGAACTATCACTTTCAATGTCTAAAAAAGAAGTTATATCAATAATACCACCACCTCTTTATGGATATCATGTTTGTTCATATTTCATACTTCTCTTTTGTTACTTCCTCCGTCCTTTTATAATCTCCTCTTTTGACTTGTTATTGTTTTAAATAAATAGGAATATGTGTAGCTGATTTTTTTAGGAGAAAATAATATGAACCTATAATTCTTCTCTTAAAAGGAATTACATCATCATCATCACCACAGTGCCGCAAAGGCTTCCACCTACAGTGGGGTAGGGGGGAGGTTGGATGTACGCAACCTTACCTCTGTACTAAGTACAAAGAGGCTGTTTCCGGATGACCCTTGGTGAAAATCGCGTCGAAAATTTCATGGACGGGCCGCTATTTCAGTACAAAGAAGCGTAGACAGTTTAGTGAGTTATTTACTTTATTCCATCATATTCCCAAGCCAAAGAATAGTGTATTTGGCTCCGTTGCAAATGATGGAAACTTCTCTTAATTTTGGAACTGACAAAAAAGGAAAGAGGTAATTTTATTATGCATTAGTATTAGTGCACAGCGCGCTTAGATATGTTTTCTAGATTATAAAATCCCTTGCTTAAGTCAAACATATGACAGTCTCATGTAATTTTATGCTTTTGATAGATTTGATAACTAGACGTTGCAAAATTGCTAAACTGAGGACTGCCTTAAAAATTGCTAGGAGCTAGTCAAGTTGTGGATTAGGGCCTAGCAAGTAGCAATTAGATCGTGTTTGGGAAGGTTAAGGTAGCATAGATGGGATTTGGAGTGATCATTTCGGGTGGGAAACGTAGCCGCCTAAAGAATGCCTAGCACCTATGTGGGGACTTTGATAGAGACAGAAATCTGGCGATAAATTGTTGAATATTAAGACTCAGACTATTTGATACTGAAAAGAAACGATACAGATGAGTCAGGTTCGAGAGTGCCTCTCTTCTCCCAGAGCCCCAATTTCTATTCTCAAACCCAATTTTTGCCTAACTTCTTATTCCTCCCTTAGGCTCCTACTTGTAATAATTCTTAATATTATTATTATGATTAATACCATTCTGCCCGGGTCTCTATCATCACTCTCATTTTGACAACCACCTTGTCCTCAAGGCAGGATGTAGGAAATAGCTCTGTCCATCCGCTTCATCCTTGCGCCTCTCCCTTTCCAATACCTCCCTGACTGCGGGACCTTGAGCTTCAGTACTTGAACTGTCATCCTCAATTTCTTCACAGCAGGAAAAAACTGAAGCAAAGACATGGTGGCATTTTGCTCCATAATGTTGTGAAGGTTAGAATCTCCCAGCAACTACATCTCTTGCTGTAACCTTTGCTTTTGTTCCAACATCCTTTGAAGATACTTGACCTCAATTTGGTCAAGACCTGAGAAAACCCTAACTTTTAACTGTGTTTTTAACATAAAATTCATTGGGGAACCAGGAACGACATAGAACAGGCTCAACAGCCTCTGATCTGATGTCCTTGTCATAATAACACCTCAAGATATTCCTAGGTATCCAATCATACTTGAAGTTTTTATGCTAGCCAGTGGAACAGCTGAAGCAATAATTTCTGTATATCTCAGCTAGCCTCGCCAAGGTATATCTTTTCTCAAAGAAAGATGTGTTTCTAAGTCTCTCAACAATGAGCTTGATTCTTTCAGAATCTATGGAGGATAAGGCATAACATGCTGCATCACAGAGAACAGCAACTACTTGCTTATATGACTTTTCATCATAATCCAGAAGTCTCTCACATAAGGCAGAAATAATCTGAGGAGTTTCAGATCTAAATGGATCACAGAGCAAACCAGCTTTAACCTTTTCAAGAACATACATCCAAACTTCAACTGTTTTATCAGTCAACCTCTTTAAGAATTCCATAACTAATGGTTGAAAAACCTCATTGATTACACATTTGGGTATAGCAAAGAGGTCCCCAAGCAAGCTAACCTCTTTTAGTCGTATATCCAGCTGATCAGTCTCCTGTTTGGATTGCATCATAGGAGAAATATAGGTGTAGAGTGCTCGTTGAACAACTCCATAAAGAGTGTTTAGTCCATCCAGCAACTCTAGCAATTTTGATACCATTAACAATTTCTGGTTTTAAAGATAAATTCACAAGGTGCTCTCTCTTGAATACATCAATTACAGCAGCTTGAGCGCAGTAGGTAGAGTCCAGATCCACAATGATTCTACCCAACTGGTGTTCTGAAATCAATCCAAAAACATCACCACGATTCTAAAAATGATTACAGCACCAAACTCTTTTATTGCATGATTTTTTCTTTCAACAATGCTACCAAGAGCAAGTTAATGTTATCTTACATTTATGTATCTTTATTTTATTCATTTTATCTTACTTTTTTTCCTTTTCTTGTCCGCCTTCTCTTTTTGGCATCGATATCATAGATCGATTCATGTTAGCCGACCCCAAATTCTTTTGGGATTAAGGCTTGGATGTTGTTGTTGTTGTGAATGCTACCAAGAGCAAACTCATCAGCCCATTCCGGAATCAGAGGAGTCCCAAATTGCAGAAAGTACCAAATTGCAGCCCTTCACTGCCATCCCAGACTTGACATTTGAGTGAATGAAAATTGATCCTTCAAGTGCACTAATCTGTAGATCATTCTTCACCAATTGCTTTGCTAAGGCACCCCAGAATAATACAACACCTTCACTCACCAGAATATGGTCCTGACTTTCAGCATAAGCAACACACTTCTCCCGCCATCTTCTATTTGTAAGTGGGTGAACACTGTCACCCATTACCCAATCCTCATCTCTTTTCTTGAGTATCTTGATCCACTTACCAGCAATAGCAATATGAAACCGGTAGTCAAATACTCCATCCCCAACTTGAGCGGAAATGCAAATTGCTGACAGCCCCCTAACATCTTCACCAACGATTATGGCATCAATCAAAGATGTAAGATATTATGGGTTCCGGTCTAACACACTGGCAAATCCCGATCGGCAGAGTTATGGATACGTTGGCAAGACCGGCCCTCTTTATCCTGTGACCTTGTTGTTCAATTTAAAGGCAGCATCAGTGTGGTGTGTACGATTGCTTTCTTGATGGTAAGGAATGTCAACTTCGCCCAGTTCTAAAACGGCTAGTGCAACCGGCTTCAACTCAGTGTTCATTGCAGGCGGTGGAGTCCCCGGTGATCCCTCTCCGCGCACTGGTAGAAGAAGCTCACGACGACACCTGCGAACTGGTAGAAGCGGTTAGTGACTGCAAACTGGGAGAAGCGGTTCGCGACTGCAAACTGGGAGAAGCGGTTCGCGACTGCGAACTGGTAGACATGACGAACGACAATGTTGATCCCTTGCTATCAGAGTTCCAACAACGTCTAACTGTCCTAGATTGCCTCTAGGTCGCCGGCGACGTTGTTGACGCAACTTGTTGCACATCTCGCCAGACACGGAAATCTGGCGATAATTGTTGAATATGAAGACTGAGATTGTCGAAACTGAAAAGAAACGATACAAACGAGGCAAGTTCGAGAGTGCCTCTTCTCTCCCAGAGTCCCAATTCCTATTACCAAACCCAATTTCTGCCTAACTTCTTATTCCTCCCTTAGTTCCTACTTATACTATTCTTAATATTATTATTAATACTATTTTGGCAGGGTCCCTATCAGACTTGGTGGGTCTAGACTCTAGACACGGGTTTTAGAACAAAGAAACTGAATATTACCTCCGTCCCTTAAAACTTTGTCAAGTTTGACCGGCACAGAGAATAATAAAGTAAAAACTGTGTGGTTGAGGTTTGTGCAGAGGAGAGAGAAATAACAGGAAACACAAAACAATTGATTAAAAATGAATGTAGTAAAGCTTTTTGGGATGTCCCAAAAAGGAAAGACGACAAAGTTTTTTGAGACGGAGGGAGTATATGATAATAGTTGCATAGCAGTCAAGTAAAGTTTAATTTAGATTGTAATTGTGGGACCGTAACACAGATGTTGCAAAGAATGTAATTAGTATCATGAAGGGTGAGCTTTAGATCACACGTCAAACACTAAACTAGACTTCATTTCAAAATCTTTCACACTACCGTTTTTATTTAGTTGCAACACTTTGAATTTCACATTTTTCCTACACACGATTTTGAACATCAATGTATTTAATTAGCTAATAGTAAAAGTTAAAAATTGTACTTAAGTTTTTCTTATATTGAGACAAATTTTACAATATTCTTTATAATACTCCCTCCGTCCCATTGGACTTTGCCAACTATTTTTTTGGAAATCCCAAAAAACTTTGTCATTTTCCAATTAAAGCAACTAATTTGTTGTTCTGCACATTTCTCTCTCCTTTGCACAAATCTCAACCACACAGTTTTTACTTTTCTTATTTTCACCTACTTTGCACTTGGCGAAGTCCACCGAGACGGGGTAGTATAATTTTACTCCCTCTGTCCCTTGTAATGTTGCCAACTTTTCCCACTAACTTTCCCTCTTATATAAAAAATTTGTGATTCTTTTTAATTCTTTCCTCTGCACTAACTTCAAACACACAACTTTTACTTTGTTATTCTACGTGCCAATCAACTTTGACAAAATTATAACGGACGGAGGGAGTAACATTTTTATAATATATATTTTAATACATTAATAAATAAAATGTTGTCGGCATAGAGTATGTGAATAGTGTAAAAGTCATTGTGTTCTACTTATTAAAGAACAGAGGAATTATATCGCGATAATATAAGCACCAGAGAGCGAGAAAGTAGTTGAGAAAAACTCTGTGTCCGGAAAATAAGTGATATACTTATATGTTAATATGCTGTGAAGAGAGCAAAATACTGTAGAGACTAGAGAAACTCAGAATTAACCAAAAAAGAGAAGTTGAGGCTTAGAAACTAGAAAGTAGAAACTCAATGTTTAGGTCAATGTTTAGCTTTGTGATGCTTTTAAGGAGCATTTGATCCCACCGTATTAGTGTTAACACAATGGTCCTATGCGATGATTCTTTTTCTCGAGTGGGGTTAAAGTCTGGATAGTCTAATGGTTGTGCTATCTTAAGTTTTGAATGTGATTTTGAGTATCAGATTCTTATATTTGCATTATATTTACGAGAATATCCACTCGTGACATTGATAGAAGGCAGGGGGCTGTGCAGAAGAGGAGGGTCCAAGACCCAGGCTTCTGTTGGTTTACTGCAGGCGGGGACGGGCCTGGCTGCGGGCCATTTAATTAATTTTATTCTTCTATAATTTTCCTGATTTGTTTCCTAATAGTAAAGTATCATCTTTTCCCCTCATCTTTTTTTCCCGTGTTTTTTTTATCCTTATACATATAAACATTATTTATATCCTTTTTATATTATCTTTTTATAATAGCTTATCTTTTGTATCTTTATTTTCTTTCTTTTACTTTTGGTGGTGATATCATGTATCGATTCATGTTAGCCGACCCCAATATCTTTTGGGACTAAGGTTTGGATGTTGTTGTTGTTGTTGTTTCCTAATAGTAAAAGTTCAAAATTAGTGTTTATTGATTTTATTCCTGCAGTATATCCATTTAAAGATGTCTTCTTGATGTAAACCTATCCACCTGATATATGGATTGTGTATCTATTAGGATATTATTTCAGAATCCTGTTGTATCTATGTTCTCAGCTTTATTTCGGATTTTTTTATGAGATAATCATGAGGAGAATACAAGGTATTGAGCATTGTATTCTGATATGCCTGCTGTTTTGCCATTCACCCATTCTTCATTTTCACTGAGCCTCTGATTTTGAGTTCTCTGCACCTTCGGCTTTTTAGAAATGCTTCTTATGGTGTTTATCATCAATGCGTTAGGAAATTGAATGTTTGTGATGATAGATTTCTTTAATATTTTTCTACTACAATGAAATATAAATACCATTTAACTTGTTCCAGGTCTTGTATATGGGGCCAATAGTGGGGATTCGACTGTGCTCAGCGCTATATGATAGAAATTTTGTTGGAGCGACTCCACGCTGCTTGTGACCATATTGTCCTACTGCATAGAAGCTACTCTGGTCTGACTTTTTATCGTTCTTTGTTTTGTATAAATGATGAAAATTTAGACCACTCCGTGTTGATATAATTTAATAATGATTAGGGATTTAGGGTCAGGCAAGTTCCCTGAAGTAGTGAAGTGGGCAATTTGGCAAGTTCCCGTCTCTTTAACAAATGAAATTTGAAATTTTGAATGTCAAAATGAAGTCATTGCAGCGAACATCTTCCTTTTACTATTCCTGTCCCCTTTCCGATAACCAACCTGAGCGGCTGAGCCTTTATATTATACTCCCTTCGATTCTCAAAGGTTAAAAAAATAAATTTGACTTTACTGTGGAGTGCACTGTTTGGACACTGTTTGACACTGTTTTACATGTTTTGATGTAGATAATTTGTCAAATAAGGAAATAAGAAGAAGTGTGAAGTTAATTTCGGGACTTCCCGAAAAGGAAAGTGGGAAGTTCTTTGAAAACCGGAGGAAGTAGGTGGTAAGACTTCTAGTGTGGAAGTGATCACTTGCCTATCAATGGGGTTATTGATAGGTAAGGCTTGGGATGTTGAGCTCAAAATGTTAGACATTTTCCATCATTTGCAATGGAGCCAAAGATTCATTATTTTTTGGCTTGAGATTATGATGGAATACAGTAAAAAAACTCACTAAACTGTCTGTGCTTCTTTGTTATGAAGCAGCAGTCAGTCCATGCAATTTTGGACGTGATTTTCACTATGGTTCATCCGGAAATAGTCTCTCTGTGCTTTAGTATAGGGGTAAGACTGCGTACATCTGCCCCCCTTACCCCACCGTAGGTGGGAGCCTTTGCGACACTGGGGTAAATGAAAGAAAATGATGAAAATGATATCCAAATAGAAAAGTACACCCTATCAACTAAATGAGATGAACGAGCTTGAAATCCTGTTTTTTCTCATCCATTAACTCATCAAGAAGATGTTACTCCCTCCTTCCCATTTTATCTGTTTTATTTTCTTTTTTAGATTGTCCCAAAATAAGTGTCACATTTCTCTTTTGAAGAGAAATTTGTGGTTCACAAGATTTCATTTTATTATATTTAAATTTCAATCATAATTTTTACTTTTTCCATCTGAGGCAAACAATTGTCACCAAGACTAGTTGAGTATTTCATTCGTAAAAGGGTGAAGATTTGTCAATCTCTAAACTTTAAGACAGAAATTTCGGACCCCATAACAAGAAAATGTCAGGTTGATAGCTCTGCCCAGGTGTGCCTATGTCATGGACCGCTATCTGATACACGTATTATATGTATTGAGCCTGCATCCATAACTTTAGAAAAATATTGAACTCATTTGTAAGAAATAGTTTTTTTTTTTCTCATTCGCATTCATAATTTTATAAAAGCATTGGACCCATTTATATAGACATTCAACACTCATCAGTAGACCACCCGCTTAAGTAGGGTAAGAGCAGGCTTCAACTCAAAAAATGCTGCTAGCATATTTGGTAGTACCATAAAAACTAAAACATTTTGTGTCCATAAGTCGGGTGTTTGAAACTTCTCAAAAGCTATACCCAGTTTTTTTATTTTTCGAAGATCTATTTGGACGATATTTCAAAGTGCTATTTGAAATAACAAATTATTACCCATTTGCCAAAATTAATTTGCATATTCTTTCAAAAAATTAAAGATTACTTCCAGGCGTTCAAAATCTAAATCTCAATTAGTAAAGACATCTTTTTTATTATTGTTATTATTAACATTATTATTGTTGTTTTTGTTCTTACTTTAACATTTGTAAATTATATTCTATATTACAATTCATCAATGATATTACAATGAAAATATCATTATTATGTATTGTAATTATAAAAATAAGAATACGGAGTAATATTAATCAATGAAATTACAAAATCTACATATAATACTAATCACATAAAAGGAAAACGTTGAAATTCTAATTTGGCAACAAGTTACCTCTCAAATTGTGTATCTATTTATGTTTATCCTTATATAATATTAATGTTTATCTTTATCCAATATAAAGTAATAAAGTAGCAACCTGTTTTGACTCCAAGGTTCCCTCCATAAATTTAATTAAGTTACACGAAGTACAAGATAAGATATTGTTGACACTCATTCCTTCAGGCCCAAAGATCCAACACAACTCCTTTGGGTAACCATCCTTTCAAAGGATGGTTACGGCAAGTTAGATACAAGAAGAAACAATACTTAACAACAAGTGATCCACTTGTATTCCAGCAAATAAGTAGTTTACACACAAGTGGCGAATGAGAATTTCGATCTTAGGCTGAATTACAGGTAATACAAGGGTAAGAGAGTATTCAGTGCTATGAGTACAAATTTGCTAAGCCTTTACAATGAAATAAATGCTGGTATTTATACTAGAATGAGTAGTTGAAGAGGGTAACGTGACTGACCCTAAGTGGATGAACCCTCAACCATAAAATCCTTCATATCTCTTGCATTAAATGTACTTCCCGCCAATTATGAGGTTTCCCACCAATTTTCTTGGGTCGATCCTCCCTGGCTTGCTTCTCATGGTGGAGTACATGCCTCAAGTGTGGTGGTTGAGCCGTGCGACCCTTCCCGAACGTGTTCCCTATCTAATGGGCTCCGCTGAACCTGGACCTCCTATGGATATTTGAGCCGTGCGACCCTTCCCGAACATGTTCCAAAGACCTCAAGAGAGCGGAGGGTCTATCTCGTGGGCAGACGAGAGACGTCCCCCTCGGGACAAAGGCAAGGGATTATTGCATGCGGGCGACGCCCGACACCAAATCAACCACGCTCACTCCGCTCGGATACACTCGCAGGGGGCGGAGGCCCTCCCGAGGGATCCCAGGGACGAAGTGATTGAGGCCCTCTAACGCTGCCTCGATGAAATGGAGGCTCGTCAAGCGCACACGCCGGCTTCCACCTCCCAAGCGGACCCCAAATACACCACCATGCTGGCCAAAATGGAGGAGACGCAGAAGAAGATGGCCGAGGGCTCCGGGGAACCCGTCATTCAACTCCGGACTAGGACGCCATTTACCCCAAGGGTATTGGCGGCCCAAATTCCGGGAAAGTATCGAGGGCAACCCATCAAGCCCTACGAAGGGAAGACAGACCCCAAGAGCACTACAGCAGGTATCAGAACAGTATGATGATGGTGGGAGCATCTGACGAATATTTGTGCTGTTGGTTCCTCTCCACCTTGGAGGGACCAGCATACGAATGGTTCAACCGATTGCCCGAAGGCAACATTGACTCATGGCAAGAACTTGCCCAACGTTTCTTGACACAGTTTGCGGGAAGGCGCCGGTCAAGAAAACACTTCTCCCACTTGCTAACGGTGACACAAAGGAGGAGACCCTACGGGACTTTTTGGAACGCTGGAGGATGGAGACAGATAAGGTTGACAGCGCCGACGACGGAACCCTTCTGGCTCTCCTACAAACGGTCTTCCGCACCGGGAACTTTTCGAGGAGCCTCATCATCGAATCCCCACGCGATTACATAAGGGCCCTCCAGTGGGGAGACCGGTATGCAGAAGCCGAGGAGGTAGAAAAATGTCACCAGAACCCCGAGCAGCAACGCCCCCGGCCAGATGATAGGAACAGCCGGGGGTCGGGGGCTCCATTCCATCAATCCAAAGGTCCGACCCCTTCAGGTGACCGTCCCCGGCACGACCAAGCGAAGACCGGGGGAGGTTACAAGAATAATCCGAAGGCTTGGGCACAACCCATCCTCCTCGAACACCCTCAGACGCCACTCACACAACCCATCAGCGTTATCCTGGACTACGCCGAGGAGAGGGGCCTCGGGGATCGCGACTCTCGCGCACCCTTATAGGTATATGCCGTCAACCCCAATGACTGCCAAGGGCACAGAACCGATGACTGCCACCAGCTGAAGGCAGCCATCGAGAGGCTTATACAGGCGGGCCATCTGTCCCAATTTGTCAGCGGCCCTGAGCCTCAAGGGCCCCCGTGAGGACACCCGGCGAGGGCAAACGCCTGGGTCAACCCAAACACCATTCCCCTCGGAGATCCAAACAACAAGAAGATGGAGATCGGGAACCTGAATGAAGAAGAGGGGTACAACCAGTGCCAAGAAAAGAAACGCCAAATCCACATGATCACCGGCGGCAATACTGGGGGAGACTCCACTAGCCAGAGGAAGAAATGGGCGCAATCCCTTTACGTTGGGGAAGTATCTCATATGCCCCCCGTAAAACGATTGAGGGAGGAACCCATCGTATTCACCAACGTAGATCTCCCCTCGGTTTCCTCTCCTCACAGGGATGCGCTGGTGATCCAAAACGAGATCAATGACACCATCATCCACCGAACTCACGTTGACACGGGTAGCACCGTCAACGTAATGTACCTCAGCACATTCAAGGAGCTGCATCTGGAGAGGTAGTCCCTTCGGCCCATCCGAACCACTCTGTCCGGCTTCACCGGAGACACTATTGATTCCGAGGGGGTCATAACCCTCCCGGTACTATTCGGAGATGGGCTCCATAGGGCCAAGCTCGAAGTAGAGTTCGTCGTCGTCAATATCGACTGCGCCCATAACATCATCCTCGGCCGGCCTGCACTCAAGGAACTACAGGCCATCATCTTCATGAGGCACCTTTGCCTCAAGTTCCTGGCTGAAGGAGGCATCGGGTACTCAAGGGGGAACCAGAAGCTCAACCGCGCCTGCTACCTTCAAATAACAAAGAAGGTTAGTAAGATCGAGTTCCGTGTTGACACCATCACCGGGACTGTAGAGGAAGAAGAGAAGAGGCCGAGGGCAGAACCGGCCGAGGAGGTAGAAGACTTTGCACTCGATCCGGCCAAGCCGGAGAGAGTCGTGAAGATTGGAGCCAAGCTCCCCGAAGATTTGAAGACCGGCATCACGGAGGCCCTCCGTGCCTACTCCATTGTTTTTGCATGGGGGTCGGAGGACATGTCGGGAATTAGCTGAAGGGTCATCACTCACCGCCTGTCGGTGGATCCTTCCTCCAACCCTGTGCAGCAGAGAAGAAGACCTCTCTCGGCCGAGAGGAGGGATTTTGTGAAAAAGGAGGTCAGCATGCTCCTCTCCATCAAACACATCAAGGAGGTAAAGTACCCCTCATGGCTGGCTAATTCGGTCCTCGCACAAAAACCACCCACCTTCCGCATGTGCGTGGACTACACAGATCTGAATAAGGCGTGCCCCATGGACCCCTTCCCGCTATCGAATATTGACCAACTGGTGGACAAAACGTCGGGATGCGAAATTATGTCATTCCTCGACGCCTTCCGCGGATATCACCAGATCTTTATGCACGAGGAAGACGCTGAAAAAACGACCTTCTTATTCCCGAAGGCATCTTCTGCTATCTAGTGATGGCCTTCGGCCTAAAAAATTCAGGTTCCACCTACACCCGGATGGTGGCCAGGGTCTTTCAAGCCGTCATAGGGTGTACTATGGAGGCCTATGTTGACGACATGATCGTCAAGAGCAAACAATCGACAAGTCATGCGGACGACCTTCGGGAGATCTTTGCCATCATGCAAAAATTCAACCTTCGGCTAAACCCGAAGAAGTGCACCTTTGGCGTGCAAGGAGGCAAGTTCTTAGGCTACATGGTAAGCCGAAGGGGTATTGAGGCCAACCTCGAGAAAATCCAGGCCATCATCAACATGGAGCCCCCACGCAATGTGAAGGAAGTCCAAAGGCTAACGGGCCGCCTGGCAGCCCTCAACTGCTTCCTATCCAAATTGACGGAGAATCCCTTCCCTTCTTCCAGACCACTGCCTTCCAATGGACTACTCTGTGCCAAGTGACCTTTGATGAGTTGAAACAGTACCTGTGTACACCCCCTGTGCTCTCCAAGCCCAAGGTGGGGGAAACCCTATACCTCTATCTGGGCGTCAACCCTGCTGCCATCAGCTCAGTCCTCATCCGGGAGGAAGATGGCGTTCAACATGCCATCTTCTATGTTAGCAAGACTCTCAGGGAGGCGGAACTCAGGTATTCTCCCGTGGAGAAGACGGTGTTAGCTATTGTTTGGACCTTAAAAAAGCTGGGCCATTATTTCCAAGCACATCCAGTCCAGGTCTTCACGTATCAACCCCTCGGCGCTTTGATGAGGAGCCCCACTAGCTCCTCCCGAATGGTGAAATGGGCCATCTTCTTCAGCCAATACAACATCGACATCCGCCCGTGGCCCGCCATCAAGGGCCAAGCCCTGGCGGACTTTGTGACGGAGTGCACGACAAGGTCAGCAGTAGATGACGAGCCCTCGGCACCCTCGGATGAATGGTGGACCCTCTATACCGATGACTCCTCTACTACCAAAGCATGCAGAGGAGGGGTAGTTCTCATTACACCCGAAGGCTTCCGCGCCTATTATGCCACCCGCTTTTCCTTCAAATTCTCCAACAACGAAGCGGAGTATGAGGCCCTCCTCTGTGGCCTTCGGCTGGCCGCTAACATGAAGGCGAGACGGATCCATGTGAAGTGCGACTCCAAGTTAGTCGTTGGCCACATTTTGGGGGAGTATGAAGCCAAGGAAGGGAGAATGAAATAGTA